CTTACCATTTTCTGATAAGACTCAACAATTTACCATTAGGACGTACTAATGGACCAAATATAGAATACAATGAATCCTAACCTTAAGATCTAAGTAAAAGAGTATACAACGCGGAAGTCACTCAACGAAAGACACCCTAGGGACACTTGAACCTAGAGTGCTCTAATACCAACTGTGATACCTCCTAATTTCAGAACACGGGTTGATCAAGATCGCACACAAAACCAGGGGATATCAAAATAATTAAAATATTTCAAACAAGTACAGAGTACAAAAAAAAAAAAAAAAAAAAAAAAAAAAAAAAAAAAGAAAAAAAAAAAGAAAAGAAAAAAAAAAATAACTCGCTGAAGGAAATCTATTAAATAAAAGTTTCATTAATAATTCCCCAAATTTTACAACTCGGAAATCCTATAACTCAAGGATCCCTTAACCAAAATTCACTATCCAGAAATTCATTATTAAATACTAATATCAAATGAAATAATAATAATATCCTACTTTTAAATAAACCGAAAGAATAGATAAGTCCTCCAACTACGGATCCTCAACCTTGAGACTTGAACTTCTAATAACCTGAAAAACAAATCACAGATTAAACCTTACGAGCAAGCTCTCTCTACCGGGCCTCTGAAAACCAATAAGCAGGTCATATCTACTTAAAATCAAACCTAATAAAATTTTTATCTTTAATATACGATGATACACATAAATATAAATAACTATATCTAATACACTAATCACATTCATTAATAAGTTCATTATTTTCAAAACTATTAAACCATAATTAAAACATAATCATACCTAAACCAATCCAAAATCTTATTTTCTTTTAAAGAGAAACTCCTTTAACCTTAATTTTTATTTTAAATAATGATTTAATCATTTGAATAATAAATCATAATCTAAGGAATAATTCCTTTAATCCAAAACCCTATAACACCTAATAAATAATTTTATTTATTTAAGTCATAAAGCAAAGATTTATGCTTTTGGCAATTCATACATGCCTTCTCCAATATTATTTTATTAATATATAAAAAATAATACACTAACTTGCAAATACTATATTATTCTAATTTAAGAACAATAAATCCTAACCCAATTCATACATATAATAACCGTAGATGAGATTTTAATCATCTAACACATAGCAATTTAATTATGCATTGGCAATTCAATCATGCCATTATAAATATATTTATTTATATATTGGCAATTCAACCATACCTCCACAAGTATATTTATTTATATTTTGGCAATTCAACCATGTATCCACAAATATATATATTTATACTTTTAAACTAACAACTCATCCATACTTCCTATGTATATATTTTATTCATACAAATATTTAGGCAATATATTTAAGCATTTGGCAACTCATCCATGCCTACAATTTAACCATATACCAACTTTAAACTTAACAACACTAAATCATACATAGACATCTTATGTATATTATATGCATAACATTCACTTAATAACCAACCTAATATGATTTAATCAACCATACTACTATATCAAATAAGAATAATAATCTTAAATGATATATACATACACATATATTATATAATATATATGTATAATACCATCCATAATAATATGGGCAAATTTCTCAAAACCCCCACTACTTTCAAAAAATGATTATAAAACCCCAACCAGTTTTAAAAACCCCCCAACAATATAACAACGTTATCATTTTATCCCAACTCTATCAATTGGGGCCGTTAACCCAGCGCGTGGTTAACAATTGTTTTGACAAATTGACTTTTGTGACAAAAATACCCCTGCTGTCACATTTGCCAAACAAGTGATGTGTATTTAAATGTGTTATACCGAAAATACCCCAAACTTATAATAGTAAAAACCCACAAAAGTCTACTCATCTTCTCTCTCTCCTAATGAATTATGATATACATTTTTTTTTAACTCCTCGCTCCTACCATCACTGTCCATCCCCCATTTAATGGTCATAAATTCAATCTTTGAATAACTTTAGTTGGACAAATAACTCCCAAATAAAGTTTCATTGGACACTGAAGTCTTAATTTTACAAAAAAAAATTCCAACAAAGTTATATAATTAAAGACACACACTCTTTCTTTCTCTCTAATTTGCAGAGCACCACAAAACTCCTTAATTATTAGACCCAATTTCCTTTCAAATGATAAAGAGTTCTCATACAATAAAGACAAACTAAGCTCAACTCAACCTCAACCTCCCTCAGTCCTTACCTACCACTAAAGGTTTAAATCCCAACCCACCCATATTCAAGTTGAAATTTTAAAAAAAATAAAAATAAAAATAAAATAAATAAACGCACACACACAAAGTGGCACACACATATCAAATAGTCTAGAACTTTAATTCAAAACAATTCTATCCCGCATTATCTTAAATGCTTATAAAGATTAATGTTAGATAACTATATATATATATATAATGATTGCATATGAGAAAGCTAAAGTGGGTTTGACCCATCAATATGTGTATTTATACACACACACACATTCCCTCTGGTCATGAGTCATGACACCCTCTACTTTTATGGGAAATTCATGTGGCACAGACACGGGCTTAGGAATCGGATGTGTGAGTTGGTTTGAGTGGAAGATACTCCACATCATGATTCTCCAACCCCATTTCTTACTCTCTCTATCAGACCAACACGCAGGGGCGGAGGGAAGGGGGGCTGGCGGGGCCATGACCCCCCTAATTTTTTGGAATTTTTTTTTAGTATAGGTAAAAATAAAATAATATAACATATATGGTATAAAATTTATACTTGGTTCCCTAAGAAATTTTTTTTTTTTCTTTAATTAGCATTTAACAAAAAATAATTTGTATACAACCTAAAAGAAAGTGATTTAATTGAGGACTATAAAACCCCGATAAAAATTTGAAGTGACTATCTTAAAATTTTAACTCAAACACCATACTTTCCATAATGTGATTATTTTAAAATCCTTCCAACTCAAGCATAATTCTTTTCATAACCTTATTATCCTAAAATTCTATCTCATACATGATTCGTTCCATAACTTTTTTTTTATTTTTTTTTTTATTGGAATGCTTTTATACAAATTGTATAAGAAAATAATTTTTACAAAATCTAGAACAAAAATTTCATTTGAAGTTTTGAATATCAACAAAAATCAATTTAAGAATCTAAATTCTTATTTTATTAATTTGTTTGCAATTTTTTTTTTTAATCATTGTTATTGTTTTGTCAAATTTTCAATTTTTTCCTTTATTTTTTAAAAAAAAAATCATTTTTGTTTTTGTTTTTTTTTCTTTTCAGTAAATAAAGAGAGTTATTTAATTGATTTTTTTTTTTTTTTTAAGTTTAGATAGATATATTTTTGTATGAATATAATAAATAGTAAAATATTTTTGCCTACGTAATATTTTTTTTTTTTTTTTTTTCAAAAGTTCTAACTAAGTATGTTGTTTATAATTTTGGCCCCCCAATCTCAATATCCTGGCTCCGCCCCTGCCAACACGCCGAACCAACAAAAGCTAGGTGAAGCTCTGACCAAACAACCACCAAACTAAACGGTGAAGAACTCCATCAACGTGAAGACCAGCGAGACCCAGAAGTTTAAACACCATAAACTCCGGCGAGTTTCAGTTCAGTACAGAGATCAACCAATCGCCGTGAACAGTTCCTGCGAGCCCCGTTAACAAACCCAAAAGTTCCGGCGTGCTCCTGTTTAGGCAAACTTCAGTTTCAGTGAGTGAATCCCACAAGAAGTTCCGTTGAACTTCAAAGACAGCGAAGCTTCAATCTTCTTGACCCAACTGCAGCAACCATAAGCACAACTTGAGCTTCAACGTTCAAACTCCATGTTTTCCGGCGTGTTTTAGGACGTCGACCAAAAAGTTTAAACACCATGAACTACGACAACCTTCAGTTCAAAGCAGAGATTAACCAATCGCTGTGAACAGTTCCGGTGAACCTCCATTAACTGACCAAAGGATAATATTGTAATTTCAAAAACATGATTTTTTGGTATTTTTTAAATAAAATGGAATATAATAAAGGTAATTTAGTCATTTCATATACCCTTAACGGCCAATTGACAGAATTGGGATAAAATGGTAATGTTGTTATATTATTGAGGGTTTTTAAAACTGATTGGAGTTTTATGATCATTTTTTAAAAGTAGTAGGAGTTTTGAGAAATTTACCTTAATAATATTTGATTATTTAAATCATATATATACATATATATCAATAAATATATATATATACACACACACACATCCCATGCTTATCCTTAACAACTAAACTAGGAACAATGCTTGCATCGTGCGGGAAGAAGATGAGGTTTATCCTCTGTGCTGACGTGGCCTAATAATATTATGACAAGTGTCCAAAATAAAAATAATAATAAAACATGGGCAACACCCAATTTGTCCGGGTTGGACCCATTTCTTACTCTCTTCTCTTTCTAATCTATCTGTCGCCGCAACAAACCCATTTCCATCTTCTCTAGCAAAACAACTTTTTAACCCTAAATTGTATCAGACCTCTTTATCTTCCTCGCCACCATTCGATCTTGAGGTTACTTTCCTCGCCACCTTCGATCTGGGTTTATGGTTACATTTGTGTGATAGAGATGTGTTGGATCTGAAGACTTTTTGTTCACAGACCCTAACAGAATAGAAGTCCGAGCTGCCTCGTTCTCTCTCTCCATCTCTATCTCTATCTCTATCAATTTTATGTCCTAAATTGAAGGGTGACTAAACGAGGGAAAGCAAAAGAACACAACTGAATTTCTTGCATCTCAGACCGAATCGTTGTTGTAAATTGTGAAAATCAGAGATTGATAAATTAGGGTTTAAATTGGTCGATTTGTAGGGTTCAATTTTGGTCTTAATGAAAATTGTAGAGGAAATTATTGATTCACTTCTTAACTTTTCAATTTGTATACACACATCTAGTAGTCACAACTCTATGTCTCCTTGTTTCCTGTTCTTAATAATCGAATTTAGATGTTTCATGTTCTTAATAATCGAATTTAGATGAATCTTGGAAAGAAATTTCTGATCGAAAAACACAAGAGCTTCTTCATGGTGTTAGTAGTTATATCTAAACTGTGAGTGATTAATCAAAATAGGATACAAAATATTGCCGGCGGTGAATATCGCCGCCATCCTCCTCGGCGCCGCCGGAAAATTCCCATTTGGCTCGTCCACCAAAATCACATCCCAACCCATTTCGTACACATAATTGGGACGGTCGTTAATCCCCAATTTGCAGTCCGAGAATAGGAGTTTCTGTACAGGTCTACACTCATTTCGAATTTTCCCTCTAGCGTGGTGAAGAAGGTCGTGTAAATGGCTCACTTTTGGTAGTGAATTGGACGTCTTAGGCTTCAAATTCGGGGCTTTTCTCTTCGATTTTGCTGACGGAGTAGGAGTTTTCGTCGAGGAAGACGGTTCGGCCATTGTGGTTGAGGAAATTCCAGAGGGGGTCTCGTGGGTCAGACCGAAAATGAGGAAATTGCAGGGGGTGGGACAGCGGCGTAGGACGGCGGTGACGGATCTGAGCTCGGCCGTGGACATTTTGGTGGAGGTGGGGGAATTGGGTTTGGCGGCGTAGTGGAGGAGGGCATCGAATACGGGTTTGGGTAATGGAAAGGCTGTCGCGGCGGAGGCGGCGGCGGTGGTGGAAATGAGGTCTCTGGTGGTGGAGATGAGAGTGAGAGCAAAGGCGAATGTGAAGAATGAGAGGATGATGAGAAGCCATTTACGATGAGAAACAACTTGCTTATGTGCAAAAGGGTGGATGACTATGAGCTTTGTGGTGGTCTTCATCCTAGAGAGAGTGATTGTGTGAAACCAGGAGTTACTTTCTCTCTCTAGTTTCTCTCACTATCAATTACCAAAAAAAAAAAAAAAAAAAAGAGTGGAGAATGAACCTGTCAGGTGATGTGATGAGAGAGAGAAGAGAGTAGGAAATGGGTCTAACCCGGACAAAATGGGTGTTGCCCATGTTTTATTATAATTTTTACTTTGGACACGTCATAATATTATTGGGTCACGTCACGCAGGATGCAAGCATTGTTCATATACAAATATATAAATATATATATTTATATATATACACATCCTTCCATATTTATCCTTAACAACTAAACTATATATATACACATATATATATGTATATATATATACTTATTACGCAAATAAATACTGTTAAATATTTTAGTAATACTTAACGGCTCTCAAAATCCTAAGAATATCTCCTTTAGTGATTAGTTTCTACCCTAACAGGCATAAAATTAAATTTGAAAACTCACTGGACCCCACAGAACCTTATCAGGACCCCGCACGCATTCCCATGCGCTTCCACAAGCCACTTAGCACTGCCAGGCGCATCCAAGCGCTGCCACGAACCTGATTTGGGCCTCCGCGCGTGTTGGCGTGCCTCCATTGGTCCTCTTCTTACTTCCAGGTGAGCGTGCACACACCGGATCTCCTCTCTAATGATCAAGCCACCTCTACAGCACTGATGCGCACATGCACCATAGTGTGTTGCGTCGCGCTGCACCAGATCAATCCATTATAAACATAATATTCCAATGGTCCAGATCAACGGTGTATTATCTCTCCATACGTCACACTACACTGAAACTGCCAATGATCATCAGGACAATCCTAAGGTCCTGATTTAAGTGCATTGAAGTGCCATGTGCCTTGCTGCACCGAATCCTAGCCCTTTATTGGGTGCGCCGATTTGAATAGTCTCCAATATATATTATATAAACAGTATATATTATATACAACTAATTTAAACACATATATAATTATAAATATATATAGAAAAAATACCAAAAATTCTATAAACACTAGTTAACCCTCTTGGGTCATAGATCAAGCCTAATAGATGATTTTAAATATACACAACCTATATATATATATATATATATATATATATATAAATAATTAAAATCCAACAATTCCAAATCCAAAAATAAAATAATAATAAATCATACTTCTAATTCATCCTTTTTAACTATCATTTAGTTAATAAATTTAATCTAAAGCCTAGATATTCAAGGTGGAATTCTTATGGATTATAAAAGAAAAGTTAAAAAAAGAACTCGCTTGAAGGTCTCGAAACGAAACCGACGCTTCAAGCCTTGATTGTCTCTTCCAAATTCGGCGTCCTTTTTCTCAGATCCAGCCTCCTATCTCTCTTATTTTTCTAACGTGTAAAACTTTTAACCCTAAAGTCTTATGTGTATATTTATACACATTAAAATCCAAATCCCATTCCAACTATAAGTACCAAATAAAATAATAAAAATTATCTTTAAATAATATATATATATGTATATATACATATACATATAAACATATATTATATTATATATATATATATATCCATATAACTTCTATAATTAATCGTTAGTTAATTAAATCATACATACATATATATATATATAATTATATAATTATACAAAAATAATCATATAACTATGGGCCTTTATTAATTAACCCAACAAGGTTTCATCCAAGCCCAAGACCACATCATTTGGTCTCACTCCTCTTAAGTCCAATCCAATTAAAATAAAATAATTAATATTAAATCTAATAATTACAAATAATTAACAAACAATTCACACAAGTATAAATACACACAAATCAAATAAACAATTCAATCATAACATTCCACAAAGCAAAACATCAATTAAACAAATATAATCACGAAATACGATCTAATTAAAATAAAACAATTAATCTAAGCACTCATTTAAATAAAACAAATCATTTAAAAATAAAATAAAAGTAATTAATCTCAATTAAATTAAACAAATTATTTAAAAATAAAATAAAATAATTAATCCCAATTAATAAATCCTTTAAAATATCAGGGTATTACAATCATGAACTTTATTGTCTTCGTTATTTGAAATATCAGAATCAGATAAAGACATGACATGAGGACCTCTATCAAGAAAAGCGACATAAGAAAGATCATTAGTACCATCATTAGGAGAATCATTATCACTTAAAGTAGAATTTTCATATTTCATTGTTTTTCCTTTATTCTTATTCTTTGGTTCTTTCCTAAGATTAGGACAAACATTTGATGCGTGACCTTTGCCACCACAATTCCGGCAAATAAATTCAGTTTCTTTTGATTATTCTACTTTCTTTTCATTAAACCTAAACTTTGACATCTTGTCAAAATTTTGAGGATTAGCCATGCTGCTATTCCTTCTCCTCTATTGTCTTTGCAAAATCTAACTGAATTGTCTTAACAAGAATGTAAGATCATCATTAGAGTCATCATCCATAGTATTCTCAACCTGTGTAGATTTTAAAACAAGATTTTTCTCCTTCTAATTTAAATTAAAGTTTTGCGTCTCAAAAGTTTTCAATGAACCTACCATCTTATCTACTTTACTGGTAGACAAATTCCAATATTCAGTGATGGTTTCAACTCTAATCTGGAATCTTTTAGGTAAAGACCTTAAGATTTTCTCACAGATTTTTTTATCACTAACTTTTTTACCTAAATGACGCAGTTTAAAAATTATTTCAAGAATACTACAATAAAAATTAGAAAATGATTCATCTTCTTTCATCACAATGTTCCCAATTTTATGAGAAAGCATCTGAAATTTGGACAACTTCACTTTTGAAGTTCCTTCATGAGTAACTCGCAAAATATCACAAACTTCTTTAGCAGTTTTACAATCAGAAATTCTAGCATATTTAGATAGAATAACAGAATTAATAATTGAATATAAAGCTTTACCATTAGCATCATTACGCTCAGTTTCAATAGCAGTAAAAGCAAAAGTATCTTTTAATTATTTGACTATTTTGCCATCCACAATTTTATCTACCGTAGGAGGTGTATAGCTAGATTCTACTATTGCCCAAGTTTTACCACCATAATTTTGCAAATAGGCTATCATCTTTGATTTTCAAAAATTGTAATTATCCCCTTCAAATAAGGACCACGTTAACTAGAACCACCTTCTTTCAACGCATAAGACATGATTTTGAAAACAATTTTTGAAAAACAAAACAAAACTTTTCAACAAAGATCAACTCAATGTGTAGAGATTGGCTCTGATATCAATTTGTGAGTTGTTTTGAAAATAAATCTTGTGTTTTACTAACTTACTTTATTTTAACAATTAATAAATTAATCACATGCAGATAAAATAAAGCGTAATAAATTTAGAGATGACACTAGGATTTTAGCGAGGAAACCCTAGTTGATAAAATACGTCAACTATTTGTATGGGAAAAACCTTGTGAACTGTGCAGTCCAAAGTAAACCGATCCACTATGCTTGAAACAACATACACTGAACTTTGACTCTGGCTCACATCCTATCGTTCTATCAAACACCAACTGCTGACAATCCTCTGGCTTTGCGACTCCCTGTCCAACAGCAACTTGACTTTAGGCTTATGCTTGATCTTTGTAAAAGAGTAGCAAGTAGATTAGACAAAACTCATTTAATGCTCCAACCCTTTCAAAGTGTGATCGCTTTTACTTCTGTTCTTCAATCATCTGAATTCGATGTAGAAGTAGATCTGCTTTTATCTGATCACTGTAGGTACAACTGTATGATCACGATCAGGATTCGAACAGCACAACTCTAAACTCAAGTGTTTATGTGTAGATGTTCTAGAAAGACAAACAGAAAATTCTCTAAGAATTTTTGTAACAAAAATCTTCCTAAGGCTTTTTGAGAATAATAAACTGATAATGCAAAAACCGTGAATAAACCAATGTATATAATATGGTTTATGTAAAGTATAGAATGACCTAATCTCTCTGAAAATAAGGAAAAATTCGTGTAAAAGATTTGGTACAATTCTACACCAACTGGGAAACAATTCAGGATAAGGAAACTAAAGTTGTAAAGTGAACAGGACTTCTTGAACCTGTTCGATAAATCTTGAACCGGTTCAAGATGGATAGAATGTAAAATCTCCACTCTGCTGAAGTTGAATCTGTCGATTATTTTTGAACCAGTTCAAAATGGACAGAATGTAAAAACTTGTTCCGAACAAAATGGAAAGTGTAGAATGTGTCCAACCTTGTTTAAAATCATTCCTAAAGTGTTGTTCTTACCTTTTTTCTTCAAAAATCTTCAAGCATGGTAACTTTGAACAACTTCCCAGTTCTGTAGTCCATGTCGAACTTAATAACTTACACAACAAGTAAAGTTAATTACAACTCGACTTGGACTTGTTTTGTCTATGATAATTGCCAAAATTAAAAATAATATCTCACAAAAAATAGTTCAATTATTATGCTGTAATTATAGAAAAAGAAAAGAAAAATTAATAGTGTTGTTCCTTGTGATAAAGTGAAGGCTTATATATCTCCGTCAAACCCGTAAAGAGAACGAAATTGCAGAAAATAGTAATACATTGGTGGCAAAGAAAATGAATCCAATGTCTTAAATAAGAAAGTATGATTGCTTAATTTGCTTGGTACCTCATGCCCGAATTTCTTTTTTCCTTTTTCAAAGGTGCCCCATGCTCTGTCCTTCTTTCATATCAGTATACATAGTGAGTCATCTGGAGATCGACTAAAGTATTTTCCTGGGAAAGTGATAAGAAAAGCTTGCTTTGGGATTGCAATTCAATGTGATTGGTCTTACCAGTTGGATCCATCATCAACTCTGCTAGGACCACTTTTATGTTCACACCATTACTATTATGTCTTTATATTTCTTCCATTCAATTTGGACTTTACTCTACACTTCACATGATATACGGAGTATTATATTATACATATTCATGTCTTTCACACCACAAAATGGCCTTTAATCAGGAGAAAATAAAAAATTGCACTGTCATACAAATACAAAGATTTAACATGATTTAGCTTATAGTTTATGGTTCACGGTGAAGATTGACAAAGAGTTTTTACTATGCGAAGATTTTATGAAAAAAAAAAAAAAAATTTACAAGTCTCTAAATCCGGACCAGTAGATCATTTGTCTCTCTCACTCTATCTCAGTTTTTAGTATTCTTACTGAATAATACAAATCTTAA